AGGGAGAAGCAGACTCCCTGCCGAGCAGGGAGCCCGATGCGGGACTCGATCCCGGGACTCCAGGATCATGACCTGAGCCGAAGGCAGTCGCCCAACGAACTGAGCCACCCAGGCGCCCTAAAAGCAGCAATTTAAAAAAGTTCTAGACCTATCACCCAACCTAAGAAATAGAATGTTACCACTATATTTGAAGTGCTTTTCCCTGATTTCATGCCTCACCCTGCATAAACCAGTTCCCTACCCTAACTTTAGCATCAAGGTGTTTTGGATATTTGATTATCACTCCCCTTATTTTATTTTTGCATTTTAACTACAGATATACATATTCCCAAGTTATATATTGTCTTGTATTGTGTGTTTATTTACTCAAAATAGATGAAATCATGCACTATAAACTATTTGGGTAGTTTTCTTGTTGATATTATGTTTAGAAGTTTGGATTCATACAGCTGCATGAATTTATATTCTCTATTATATGTCCATAGTGTGAACAAATTACAAATAATTTATGGATTCTCCCCTTATCTTTTGATCTTATGTATAATATTGCACAGTAAACATTCTTGTACATAAGCTGTGGTGAAAATGTGCAAGGGTTTCTCCAGCATATATGCTTAGGAGTGGAATTTCTTCATCATACAATATCCACGATTTAACTCTATTTGATGGTGACAGATTGATTTCCAATTTCATATCTAACTATTTGGATAAAACAATTTTTATGGCACCATTTATTGAAAGGCTCTTAACCCACTGATCCATGTTATCACTTCTGTCATAAATCAAGTTTGCATATATGAGTTCTCTGTTCTGATATATCAATCTGTTTTTATATGTTTCCAGACAGGTACAATTTGGCCTTATGAAGATAGTTTAGTTATAAGCCTTGATATCTAATAGAGCAAGATTCCTACTTTATTCTTTTTCTTCAGGAGTGTCCTAACTATTCTTGGACCTTTGTTCTTCCATAGAAGTTTTGGAAACAGCTTCTTTAGTCACCAGCCAAGAAAACAAACACCCAAAACTTCTTAGACTTTTAACTGGGATTGAATTGAATTTATAAATCAATTTGAGGAGAAGCGACATCTTTGCAGTGTTGGGTCTATGTATATATAAACATAGCATAACTACCCATTTATAGAAGTCCTTCAAGAAAGTATGACCGTTTTCCTCAGGAAGGTCTTACACGTTTTTGGTAAGAGTTATTCCTAGCTACCTCATTTTTATATACTATTGTAAATGTAAATCTTTTTTCTCAGTTAGGTTTTATATTTTACAAGCTGTGTTTTGATGGTGTATTTAAAGGACTTGTATGTCTTGATTTTGATTCCAAATATAGTAACCGCACAACATTGTCATTCCAGTAATTTATCTATAAGTTGTTGTTTTTTTCTCTACATCTTTGAATAATAACAGTTCTGATTCTTCCTTTCCAGTCCTTGTAACTTTTAACTCTTTCTCTTGCCTTTCACTGGCTAGAACCTCCCGCACAGTGTGGCTTCCTAGTGCTGGGAATGAGACTGGAGAATGGCTATAAATGGACATGAGGGGTTTTTAGGGTAATGGAAATGTTCTAAAATCAGGTTGTGATGATGGTTGTACAACTATAAATATAATAAAATTAATTTAATTATATACTTAAAATTGGTGAATTTTATGGTGTGCAAATTATATCTCAGTGAGGCTGCTTAAAAAAACCAAAACAACAATAAAAGCAGCTGATGTTCCATGACGGTAATCTGACTGACCGGCATCTGAACCTAGACCATTTGGTGTCAAGGTCCCGACTGGTTAGTCCCTGCATGTGAGGCTTCTCTGATGCTTGCATAGCAGGTAGGATAGTAAAGGGGCAGGAGACCCTTGCAAACAAGTCACTGAATGGCTGCCGTCTACCCAGACTGCAGTGCAGGTACCAACCGGCCACAGTCACTGGCCACCACAGTACTGAGGTCAGGGACTCGAGTGGAGTAGCCATGGTGGCACAGATGAAGGCTCTGCGTGGGCACAAAAGCACGGCATCCCTCATCAAAACCGACCTTGCTGCTGCTTCCACCCTCCCTGTCAACCACAGACACTGACGCTGAGCCCTTTTAGTGTGTGACTCTTTGAGGAGACCAACCAGTCACTTAGTGGCGCTTGATTACATCAGACCCCTTCCACCATGAAGGGGCAGCAATTCATTCTGACGTGTTTTCCAAGTGTGCATTTACTTTTCCTGCCTGTGTCAACTTGGTCAGTACCTCTATTCAAGGATTCACAGGATATCTGATTTACTGACATGGGATCTCCCACTTACTGTCACTTCAGATCAAAGGACCCAATTTATGAAAAAAAGTTCTGCCGTGGATAGATGCCTGTGTGATTAACTGGTCCTCCTACATCCCACATCATCCATAAGCTGCTAGCCTGATAGAGCAATGAAATGGTCTCAGAAACACAGCGAAGCAACAGTTTGGAGGTGATATCCTACAAAGGTATTCCTTCAGGATGCCGCATAAAGATTAAAGCAGAGGTTGGCAAACTGATTCCAAGGCCAGATCAGGCTTGCTGCTGTTTTACAAACATAATATTATTGGAATACAACCACACGCATCATTTACGTATTGTTTGTGGCTCCTGTCGTGCTAGATAGCAGAATTAAGTAGTTGTGTCAGAGACTGTATGGTCCACAAAGTCTAAAACAGTTACTGTCTGGCACTTTACAGAAAAAGTTGGCTACTTTTTCCTTGAACCACTGATGATTGTATGGTTCTCTGTTACTGCTGGGAACCAAGGAGTGGGAAGGATGGCTCTGTTCCAGCAACCCACTTGGGAAACTTTGGCTTCCAGTTTCTGAAACTTCAGGCTCTTTAGTTGAAGAACTAGAGGTCTTGGTTTCTGGAAAGGGGACACTTCCACTAGGGGAAACATTAATAGTTCCACTAAACTTAAGGCAGTGGCTGCCGTTGATCATTTTGTGCTCATTGCACCAGTAGACTGGCAAGAAGAGAAAAGAGTTACCATGCTTGAAGGGGTAATTGACTTTGATAACCATGAGGAGGTGGGGTTGCTGCTATGGAATGATAGTAGGGAAGAATATATTTGTCACACCTGTGAACTACTGGGGTGTCTCCTGGTAATCTGAACCTCAGTTTTCACTGTAAATTGGCAAGGAGAGCTCAGCTGTGGCCAGACAACAGCATGGTAACCAAAATCTCAGACCCCTCAGGTGACAGACAGTACCGTGCAAGCCACCCAGACCAGCAGAGGTGCTGGCACAAGGTGAGGGGAATATAGACTGGGTAGTAAAGAAAGGAAATGATCAGTATCAGTTCTGACCTCAGAACCAACTGTGGCTGTGGAGACTGTAGTTTATCCCACTAACTTCTCTTTTAAGTTTTCATGGAAATTGTGATCAATCGGAATCCTGAAGTTGCAAAAGAGTGGAGTGAACCTAATGTGTAAAGCACGTGACCTGAATTGTACAAGGGGGTAGAGCACAGCAGACAATGTGGTGCTCTGTCCGGATCTCCTTTTGTTGGCTCGGTGTACTCATTCTTCTCCAACGGCTGCAGGTGATGCTACTGATGCACCCGCACCATTTTCAAGAGGCTTTGCCTCCAGGAGACTGGAGCAGCATCACCAGGAGATAGCTGGAAGTTACGCACTACTTATCCCTGTAGCAGCCTGTAAGCAGTGACTGCCTCATGCGTGAGATGGAGGTGCAAAAACCTCGTTCCCCTGCTCTGAGGTGGGAGAGACCATGGTGTGGTGTATGCGTCAGAGCTCCTGGAGATTTGGGGCTGAGGCTAGACCCAGCTAAAACCACAGTCTTGCTTTGCTTCTGCCATTGGTCTCTTCTGTTGCCACTCATTCCCTTACAGATTTTTTTTTCCTTTTTCTTCTATAGTTTTGAGTTTGGACCTGAAAAGATGCTGTTGATATGCAGATTGGTCTAAAACAGGCAGCCTGGGGTTGTGTTTGGGCCAAGATTTCTCATGTAATTATGTAATTTCTCTCTTAATAAAAAACTTGATTATATCTTTTCTCCTTTGTAAAGTTTGTTCTGTATTTTTCCCCTAATGTCTAAGGTTGGAATGCTTTTGGTTCATTAATCTTGAGCCTTTTGTGTTTACTTAGGAATATACAATTATCCATTTTCTTCAAAGTAAGACTTTAGCAGCATCTCACAAGTATTGAATATGACATTCTTTATCATTCAGTTCTGAGAATTTTCTGATTTCCATTATGACTTTTTTGACCCACAAAGAAATTTTTAAATTTTCAAACACATGGAGGTATTTTCTACTTGTTTGTTTGTTATTGATTTGTAACTTAATTTTATGGTTGTCAAGTATGTGTTCTGTATGATACTGATTTTTAAAAATTTACTGACATTAGTTTTATGCACTGTCATAAATACTGTGTGCTTGGAAAGAATGTACATTCTGCAGCTGTTGAGCACAGTATTTTACACACACACACACACACACGCTTTCCATTAAACTTGTTAATTGTGTTGCTCAGATTCTTTATATTCTTATTTTTTGGTCTATTTAATTTACTATGAGAAATTAGTTAAAATCTTCCTCTGTGATAGTGAAATTGTCTATATGTTTTGAGACTATGTTAGTAAGTACATAAAGTCTAGGATTGTTATATTTTCCTGATGAATCGAAAATTTTATCATTATATAGTGATCATCTTTATCTCTAGAAGTGCTTTTTTGCTTTAAAGTCTATTTTGTATGGTATTCGTATCGCTATACCAGATTTCCTTAATATTTTCCTAGTCTGTTTTTCCCATGCTTTGACTTTCACACTTTTTCTGTCCTTTGTGTCCAAAGAGCAGAGAATTGGATTAGTTTTTTTTGCCTTTTTATTTGTATTTAAATTCAATTAATTAACATATAATGTATTATTAGTTTCAGAGGTAGAGGTCATTGATTCATCAGTCTTATATAATACCCAGTGCTCATCACATCACGTGCCCTCCTTAATGTCCATCACCCAGTTACCCCATACCTCCCCTCCGGCAGCCTTCAGTTTGTTTCCTGTGATTAAGAGTCTCTCTTATGGTTTGTCTCCCTCTCTGATTTCGTCTTGTTTTATTTTTTCCTCTTTGAGAATTGGATTATTTTTAATCCAGTCTGACAGTCATTGACTTCAAATTGGATAGTTTAGACAATTTCCATTTATTTGGGTCAGTTTTATATTTGGTATAGTAGATATCATCAACATAGTCAGTGACCCTTCCTAACCCCCTCCTTACAAGCCCTGTCTCTTCTAAGCCTATTCCTATTGAAGTATTATAACCCCATTGACATCTAAGTCTGTTAAGAGACTTGGCCTTAATGATGATGATTTTTTTTTAACCAATTAAAAGTGAGTAGAAATAAATGTACTACTTCTGAGTAGAAGCTTGTAGAGTCACAATGTTATTCTGAGTTTTTCTGTGTCACCATACCTGTAGGTTCCAGACTGAAGCCATTCCTTCAGTCTGGGTTCCAGATTGAGTATCGAAGGCCAGTCAAAGACTGGCATGCAATATGCGTGAGAAACAGATTCCATAAGTCACTGAGATTTGGGGATTACTTATTATTGCAGGATAACCTTACAAGATCTGATGCTTGAACAAAACAGAGGTTGGGGGCACTGACCCTCACACAGTAAAAAATCTGCTATAACGTTGACTCCCCCAAAACTTAACTACTAATAGCCTACTGTTGACCAGAAGCATTACCAATAACATAAACAGGTAATTAACATATATTTTATATGTTATATGTATTATATACTATATTCTTAAAGTAAGCTAGAGAAAAAATGTTATTAGAAAATCATAAGGAAGAGAAAATACATTTACAGTACTGTACTGTAAGAAATCTGTAGATAAGTGGACGCATGCCATTCAGACCCATGTTGTTTTAGGGTCAACTGTACATTTAAATGTATTTCTACCCTAGGGGCGCCTGGGTGGCTCAGTTGTTAAGCGTCTGCCTTTGGCTCGGATCATAATCCCAGGGTCCTGGGATCGAGCCCCGCATCAGGCTCCCTGCTCCGCGGGAGGCCTGCTTCTCCCTCTCCCA